TACCCATGGTGCTGCCCCCAAGTCTTAACAACCCTCTGTATGAAAAAAATTCTCATCATTTCCTCCAACTCTTCTCCAGTTTATATTTGATCTATGATCTCACTTTCCAGAAGAAATGGTATCTCCTTACTTGCCTGAATAAAACCCCTCCTAACTTTGAAAACTGAATAAGGTAAATTTCTTTGGTCCAAGGAGAATGATGCCAGGTTCTTACGTTTCTCCACATTACTGATTCCCTCATCCCCGACATCATGTTGTAAACTTTGGTTGTTTCTTTCTCGTTGTGTCCAGAATTGCATAGAATACTCAAGCTGAGGCTAAACAAAGATTTGTAAATATAGATTTCATCCTTCTGTTGACAAACAGAAGAGTACATTTGAGCATTCAAACAAGGTATAGCTCATTTAGCACTTTGAGCTGCTGTGCCATTTAATGAGATAATAATTGATCAGCTTGTAAGCTCAAATCTAGATTCCCACCTATCCCTTAACCTCTACCCATCTTTGCCTTAAAAATATTTAGAGACTCTGCTTTCTTCACCTTTTCAGGAAGACTCGGGGTGGCACGATGGCTCAATGGTTAGCAATGCATCCTCACAGCGCCAGGGACCCGGTTTGATTCCACCCTCAGGTGACAGTCTGTGTGGAGTTTTCACATTCTTCCCATGTCTGCATGGGTTTCCTCCGAGTACGCCAGTTTTCTCCCACTGTCCAGAGATGTGGAGATTAGGTGGATTAGCCGTGCTAAATTGCCCATAGTGTCCAGAGATGTGTAGGTTAGGTGGATTAGCCATGGGAAATACAGGGTTACAGGGATAGGGTAGGGGGTGGGTCTGGGTGGGATGCTGTTCGGAGGGCTAGTGTGAACTTGATGGGCCAAATGGCCTGCTTCCACACTAGGGATTCTATGACTCAAAACCCTTTGTGAGAAGAAATTCCACATAATTTCTGTCTTAAGCGCTCAGTTCCTTTTTTTATAAACAGTGACTCCTAGTTCTATATTCTTCCATGAAAGGAAATATCCTTTCTGTATCTACCTGGTTAAGACTATTCAGGTTCTTACCCTCTTCAGTCAGGTCACCTTTTGCTCAACCAAATTCGAAGAGGTACAAGCCTAGCCTGTCCAACCATTCATCAGAAAACCACACCCCCATCCCAGGTATTGTTCTGGTAAACCTTCAATGAACTGCTTGCAACGTATTTACATCCTTCCTTAAGATGATTAGTACTGTGCACAGTATTCCAGATATGGTCTCAACAATGCCTATTGTAACTGAAGAATAACCTCCCAACTTTTGTGATCAATTTCCCTTGTGATAAATGGTAATATTCTGTTGGCTTTGATAATTATTTGCTGCACCTGCATAGATTCATGCACAAGGGTAACACATCTCTCTGTATCTCAGAGCTCTGCAATCTCTTACTATTGTAATAATGTTCCTCATTTTTATTCTCCCTGCCAACATGAACAGTTTCACAGTTTCCCACACTATATTCAGTTTGCCAGGTCTTGTCTACTTATTACCTATCACAATGACTCGCCTTTTGTTGCATCTTTGGCAACCGGAAAAGACCCATGTCTACCGACCATATTTCTTGTTAGCTAGTCATTCTTCTGTCCACACCAATGTGCTGTCCCCTACCATGACTTTTCATTATTCATAATAATCTTTGATGTGGCACTTTATCAAATGCCTTCTGGAAATCAAAGTACAATACATGACTATTTCCCCTTTATCCATAACTCGTTGTTTCCTCAAAGAACTCCAGTAGATGATTCCCCTTTGACAAGTGCCTGATTACCTTGAACTTATCCAGGCATCCCGTTATAACTTTAATGAGAGCTTGTTACATTTTGCCAATGACAGATACTAAGTTAGTTCGCCCATCGCTTCCCAATTTCCATACCCCTCCCTTTTTGAAAAAAGGAGTTAAATTTGCTATCTTCCAATCTTTTAGGATGTTCCTCAAATTTATGGCGTTTTAAAAAATTAAAACCAACACATCAGATACCTTACTGACCACTTCTTCTAAGGCCCTAGGAGGAAGTCCATCAGGAACTGTGCACTTGTCAGACCAGAGCTTCAGTACCTTTACTCGGTAAAAGTTCTCTGGTGAATGTGATTTTCCTGAGTTCCCACATCTCTTCCATTTCCTGATTTATCACTACTTTGGAGATGTTGCTTGTATCCTCTACAGACAGTCCCCAGGTTGCAAACGGACTTCTTTCCTGTTTGCAAGTCGATTTGTACACAATTTGGAACACAGTGCAGGACAATGTAAAGCAGCTGTTCATGAAATGAAATGTTTGTATGTCGGAGCTTTAAGATTACACCCCTGTGTGGGATTGCTGTCATAAGTACAAGCGTTTGTAAGTTCAACGTTCATGAATCAGGGACGCCCTGTGTAGTGAAAACTGATGTAAAATACCTGCTCAATTAATTTGCCATTTTTCGTGTTCCATTATCAACTCTCAAGCTCATTTTCAATAGGACCATTGATTACTTTGTTCACTCTTTTAAAAACATTTACAGGAATGCTTACATTCTGTTTTTATATTTCTCCAGCTTTCTTTCATTCTCAGTTTTTCTGTCCTTATTAAGTTTTGTCACACTTTGTGTTTTTTTACATTCTGTTCAATCTTCTAACCTGCTACCTGTCTTTGTATTAAATGCTTTTTTTTGTTGGTTTGATACTATCTTTAACATTTCTAATTACACCATGGATAATGGGTCTATATCTGAAATTTTTCTTACTTGAGGTTGTTGACTTGCTTGCCGAGCTGGCTTGTTTTCATTCAGACGTTTCTTCACCATGCTAGGTGACATCATCAGTAAGGCCTCCGATGAAGTGACGTTGTTCTATTCTGCTTGGAATTTATGCTGTCTGGTCCATTATGGTGAGTAGTGTCATTTCCAGTTTTGATCTGTACGGGTTTGTATATGTATATATGTATGTACAAATCAATCAATCTAATCTGTATATTCAAAACTATCCTCTGAAATGTCTGACACTGTAACTCTGTTAACCCATCCTTTCACCGAATGTGTCTATTCATTTTCAATTTAATATGCTTTCTTAACTGCCTTATGAACTTGTCCTACCATCTTCAAGGAGTCATGAATTTGCACGTCCACATTTTTCTGTTCATGCACCCTCCTTGAATATAACTAAGTTGTTCCTTCCACAACATATCACTTCAGATTTCATTCTGTTAAAATCTGCCCTTTCATCATTCTATGTCCAACTGTCCTGTTCAATATTAGCTACTTCACCAAGATTTTATCAGACCACAAATACCCAGGTACAGGTCACATAATGTATTCAGAAAAGCAATAAGCTTAATACTGACCCTGGGAAACTCAACTGCATCCTTCCCTTACAGTTGGAAAGCCATCCAGTCAATGCCAATCTCTGGCATTTAGCTCTTAACTCATTCTGTGCCAAGTTACCGTCGTCTGTTAATGGCATTTATTTTTGTTGAGAAATCTGTTACGGGGTTAATTTATCCAATGCCTTTTGACAGTTTGTTTATGTACATCACCTGAATTCACTTCATCAACTCTCCCAGTTCTTTCAATGAATAACTTAGTCATTCAGCATGGTCAGATAAGATTAACCTTACATAAATCTGCTCTGCCTTTTCCTTGTAGATATTATACTAAGGTGAGAGACTGAGTAAATTGCATTGATATTCTCTGAGGTTTAAAGAATGGAAGCCAATCTAATTGCAAATACAAGAGTTTGAATGGATTTGAGAAGGTAGACTCTAGAAGGATTTGCTGCTGGTGAAGCAATGTGGAACAAGGGGGCATTATCTAAAGACAAAGGATTGATTATTTAGGACAATGATTGTGAATGGTCCATTGCTGAGTTTCGGTCTCAGAGAATCAAGGAATATGAGAAGTGGGTGAGAAAGTGGAGTGGGAGCCCAATATTAACCAGGATCATATGTAATGGTGCAGCAGGCATGACAGGTTGGATAGTTTATGCCTTCTCCCTTCTCTGATGTTGTTATGTTTCTTAGTGATCCTATTCAGAGTCACCCACAGAAATGTCACCCAGCAACCATGGTGACAGATTACAAAGCACTCACAGGCACGTTCGTAGACATACTCCCAAGCCCAAACCACACAGTCACCTGACACACCCAGCACATTCAAATAGCTCCCTTACAGAGACACTCACCAACACATTCAACCAACATTGAATCCAATTCAATGTCTTTTTGAAAGAAAAACACTAAGCATGGAACTGGGGTGCAAACTGCACAATGTCATTAGTCAAGCAAAGTCCAAATCCGACAGGCTCAGTTCCACAACTTTCCTGCTCTGAATGTCTCAACTTGGCGAGGTAAAGTAAAAAATTATTCTGTCCTTCAATTCAGTTCTTGCAGATTGAGCCACATAAAGTCAGAAACTGTGAATGTATTATTGAGAGATAAGAGACAAAAGCTAATGGCTCTGAATTTTATCCTGTGACGCACACAGAGGATTTGCCCACAATTCAGTATTCTGTGTTATACTGTGGGATGCTACAGAGAACAAAACCCTGGAGAAATGTCATACGGCAGTCAAAAAAATTGCATCTTGGTTTTATTTTCATTGGAACGCATGCATTTATCAGCTGTAAAAATATTGAGGCGAGTGAAAAATTACCATTTGACTGACAGTCAGCAATCGTCCTGCCCAGTATTGAGAAGTCTGTTGATCTTCCACTCAGTGTAGGAAGACAAAGAGGTGTGTGGATGAAAATATTGAGCGTCCACTGTGGGGAATATGGGGTGGATGTGTGGCAGGAGGTCGTATAATAAAACCTGTGAGAATTGGGAACCCGTCAGACAGGCTGCAAGCAGTCACTGAGGAAAGAAGGTCAGTGAGAGATGGGGGTATTGCTTTAAACAAGATGGGAGGCAGGGGATCAGCAATCCAATCATGTGACCATTCTTCTTTCACCATGACAATTTATTATTAACTTGTCAGGTGAAAGTCCACCTCTGTAGCTAGCAGCATTTTCCAAGCCTCGATTTAGTTCCAGTGATTCTGAAAGGATCTGAGGTTTCGAAGTGCTGGAACTCAGGCTGATCTTTCATTGCTGAGGTTTGTGCTGGGCAATCTGAATGTTTTGTGGCATGCATCCTGTCAACAGGTTCATTTGCAGTCTGGTTGTGGTCTCAACTTCACATTTCTGTCTGACTCCAATGACCCTTCACTCCCTTCTCTTTGAAAAATCTGCTCAACTCAAAAAAATTGGCTTAGTGGCAGGAGGCCAAGAATGCTGGTCAAAGGGTGTTTTAGGACTGGAATTTAATTTAGATATATGTAAGCTGTTACATTTTGGTAAAGCAAGCTAGGGCAGTTAATGGTAGGGTCTTGGGGAGTGTTGCTGAACAAAGAGACAAAGAGCAGGAGCATAGTTCCTTGAAAGTGGAGTCATAGGTAGACAGGGTAGTGAAGAAAGTGTTTGGTACATTTGCTTTCATTGATCAGATCTTTGAGTATGGAGGTGAGATGTCATGTTGCGACTGTACGGGACATTGGTGAGGCCACATTTGGAATACTGTGTACAATTTTGGTCTCCATGCTATTGGAAAGATGTTGTTAAACTTGAGAGGGTGCAGAAAAGATATACAAGGTTGTAGCCGTGACTGGAACATTCACAGTCAGGAATCACACAACACCAAGTTCTATTTGATAACACAAGCTTTTGGAGCCTCACTCCTTCTTCAGGTATTAGTGAGAGAGGTAATACCAGACACAATTTATAAGTAAAAGAACAAAGGGTCACACCACAGATCAAAATGTATTAAACAAACCTGTGTTGCTCTTAAATCTTTAATCAGTTAGAAGGTTTTAATTGATTAACATGTGCATGAAAATCCCTGAATTCCTTACAAGTCACAGTCCTGAGAGAACTAAAAGTTTTATCGGTGTAAAGAAGAGATGACATTTTAGGTCTGACAATGCATGTTAGGTGTGAGGCCGTTTTTAGAAACTGCTTGTGTTTTGGTTTGGAGTCAGTAAAGTAGGAATTTATAAAACTCCACATTGACTAACTGCCTATAAATTGTGTGCATTTTGAACAAAATAGAATGTATCTGCAAATACACATTCACCCCATAGAATAACGTTTGTGTGTGTGTGAGTGTGTGTGTGTGGGTGGGTGTGGAGAGGAGGAAGAGAGAGCACAAGACATGTCAGATCTTTGACATGGACACTACCATCACACGTGGGAACATCACCCACCACGTACACAGCAGATACACATGTCATTCAGCCAACTTTGTCTATCTCATACGCTGTAGGCAAAGATGCCCCGAGGCATGGTACATTGGCAGAACCATGCAGACGCTATGACAACGAATGAATGGACACCGAGCAACAATCGCCAGATAGGAATGTTCCCTCCCAGTAGGGGAACACTTCAGCGGTCAAGGATATTCAGCTTCAGATATTTGGGTATACGTCCTCCAAGGCAGACTTCGAGATACACAACAACGCACAATCGCCGAGCAGAGACTGATAGCCAAATTTGGTACCCAGGAGGATGGCCTCAACCGGGATCTTGGGTTCATGTCACACTATAGGTGACCCCACCACACTACACACTCTCTCACACACACTCTGTCTCTCCCTCACACACACACTCTTTATCCTCCCTCTCTCACACACATGACTTGCAAATTATGGGGTGAATATGTATTTGCAGATACATTCTATTTAGTTCAAAAAGCACACAATTTATAAATAGTCAGTCAATATGGCATTTTATAAATTCCTACTTTAGAAATAAAACCAGTCTGACTCCAACCCAAAACACCAGCAGTTTCTAAAGAAGGTCTCACACCTAACATGCATTATCCGACATAAAATGTCACCACTTTTTTACACCGATAAAACCTTTAGTTCTCTCAGGACAGTGACTTGTGAAGAATTCGAGGATTTACATACACATATTAATCAATTAAAACCTTCTAACCGATTGAAGATTTAACGACATCTCAGGTTTGTTTAATACATCCTGATCAATGGTGTGACCGTTTGATCTTTTACTTATAAATTCTGTGTCTGATACTACCACTCTCACTAACACCTGAAGAATGAGCGAGGCTCCGAAACCTTGTGTTTTCAAATAAACCTGTTGGACTATAACCTGGTGTTGTGTGATTTCTGACCTTGTCCACTCTCGTCCAACACCAGCACCTCCACATTATGGAAGGTTTGAGTTATAGGGAGAGGCTTAATAGGCTGGAGCTTTTCTCCCTGGGGCATCAGCAGCTGAGTTGTGACCTTAAAGATGCTTATAAAATCATGAAGTTCATGGAGAGTGTAAATAGTCAAGGTCTTTGCCATCACGGTGGGGGAGTCCAAAACTAGAGGGCAAAGGTTTAATGTGAGAGTGGAAAGATCTAAAAGGGACCTGAGGAGCAACCTTTTCATGTGGACTATGGTGAGTGTGTGGAACAAGCTGCCAGAGGAAGTGGTGGAGGCAGGTACAATTACAACATTAAAAGGCTTCTGGATGAGTGTAAGAATAGGAAGATTTTAGAGGGAAGTGGACCAAATGCTGGCAAATGGAACTATGTCACATTGGTATGTCTGGTCGGCGTGGATGAGTTGGGCCGAAGGGTCCGTTTACATGCTGTGTGACTCTGTGCCTGGAGGCTTGTGTCCCATGGCATATCATTGATGCTGGGTTGCTTGCTGCTTGTCGGGTACATTACTGATTTTGATGCAAATGTAAGAGGTTAGATCTGTCAGTTTGCTGCTGATATTAAAATTGGTGGTGTGGTAAATAGTGACAGGGAAAAGTTTAGACTACAGGATGGTACAGAAGAGCTGGTGAGATGGGCAGAACAGTTGCAAATGGAGTTTATTCCTGGTAAGTATGAGGGAATGCATTTCGGGAGGACTAACAAGGACCCTGGGAGGAATGGAGGATCGGAGGGACCTTGGTATACACATCCAAAGAACCTTGAAGACAACAGGGCAGGCAGACAGGGTGGTTTAGAAGACATGTAGGATGCTTGGCTTTATTAGCTGAGGCACTGAATATAAGAGCAGGGAGATTATGATTAGCTGTATGAAACATTGGTTTGGTCGCAGCTGGAGTGCTGTGTGCAGTTGTGGTAACGACATTATAGAAAAGATGTGATTCACTGGGATGTTGCCTGGACTGGAGCAATTCAGCTATGAAGAGAGATGAGACAGGCTGGGCTTGTTTTCCTTACAGCAGAGAACACTGACCAGGATCTGACTGAAAAGTACAAAATTATGAAGGACGTAGATAGAGAAAAAAGTTTCCCCTTAGTGGAGGGACCAAAACAAGGAGGCATAGGTTCAAAGTAAGGTGCAGGAGATTTGGAGCAGATTTAAAGAAAAGAATTTTCACCCAGAGGGTGGTGGGTAACTGAATCTCATTGCCTGGAGGGGTGGTCAAGGCATCCATCACAATGTTGGAAATATTTAGATGAATGCTTAAAAAGCCGAAGCATAGCCAAGGCTATGGGCTAAATGCTAAGAAATGAAATTATAGCAGAAAGGCGCTTGACGACCAATATGATGACCTTCTGTGCTATAAGACTCTATGATTATGTCTCAGCCTTGATGTTATAGCACTGAAGTATTCCTGAAAGGTAATCATCAACTTTCCTCAGATTTTCAATGCGAGTGGCATGCCAGTTTACCTTTCATCTTAATGTGTTTTTTTTTGTGTGGCCCTGCATGTGCACAGCTTAGAAGAAACATTGGACTTGCTGTGGTAATGTAGAAACCATAGCTGTTGATTTATGTACAGCAAGATCTGACAAACAACAATTGGGTGAGACCTTGTGAAGTGAGCTCCTGGCAGGCGTTGACCGTATAGATCTGATAACTATAGCAATCACTGGCCAGAGCAAACACAGCCTTTGTCGACTGCTGTTAATATAAATGATCCATTCTATTTGTTCAGATAACAGCCTGATTTTAAGTCTGACACCATTGAATAGGCTTCCCACAACCTAGCTAATATGATGTTGTGGGATCTCGTAGCAATAAAAGTGCGACAGGGGAGAGCTGGGTTTGCCTGAGAAATGGAGCTGGCCTCATGGTATATGCAGAGTTGCTCCCATCATCTTCTGACTATGTCTTTCAGGAAAGTTGGCGAGCAGGGACGTGAGGAGCAGGATCAGAGGCTGCAATGGACCATGAGAGGAAGTCCCGGAGAATTGGGATCGTAGGTTTCGGTCACTTAGGTAGGTTGAAAGAAAGAAAATTTTGAATTTTTGACCACCTTTTGCATCCTTAGAACTTCCCAAGGAAGTTCACTGTCAATGAGGTTCTTTTGAAGTAATCAATCTTATAGAATCATGCCAGCTAGTTTGAGTACAGCAGGCTCCCAGAAACACAGAAGTAATAATGTTCAAAAATGTTTTTTTTTTGTAATGCTGTAATAATGGATGGATAAATGTGGGCCAGGATATCAAGCTAGCTCACCTGATGTTCTTCAAAATAGTGCTCTGGCATCTTTTCCATCCATCCAAGCAGCAGATGGCATGTCAGTTAAACAACACATCCAAAATACATTACCTGTGACAGTGCACTGCTTCCTCAGTCATGCACTGGATTGTCAGCCTAGATATAAATGCTCCAGTTTTGGAGTGGGACTGACCTGGGAACATGGTGACTCAGAGGTAAGACCGTTTCATATTGAGCCATAGCTGACATGCCACTTGGATTTGCATTTCGATAGTACCTTTCACATCCTCAGCATGTCCCAGAGACTGCACAGTCAATGCAATTTGTTTTGAGCACAGGCGACCATTGGAATGTGGGAAAGCTCCCCCAAACAGCTACGTGATAATTCATATCTGCCTTGTAATGTTGGTTCAGGGACCAGTATTAGCCAGAAGACTGGAGAAAAGTCCACTGATAAATGGAATCACTCAATAGTGGCTTTGCAGTGAAATCTCTGAACAGCTGCTGTTCAGCTGAGATCCAGAGGAAAGGACAACAATAAGTTTTTATGTTGGAGAGGAGTATAAATGGTCAAATTCTTCACTTTTCCTCATTTGCAGGTCAGTACCTGACAGAGATGATTGAGGAACAGGGGCATCAGTATGGCCTTGAACTGGCCTTTGTGTGGAACAGAAACCAGAAAAAGATGGAAGGGAAAGTTCGAAAGGAAGTGCAGCTGGAGGATCTCAGCATGTTTGTTGAGCGGTGAGTGAACTCACTTTCTTATGAAATAAATAAAATAGCCCTAGCTGTAGTATTGTGTCCAATTCTCAGCACACACTTTAAGAAAGACATCTTAGGCGCTGAAAGAGTTTATAAGAGATTCACCCAAGTGAGTGACAGAGCGACAGAAGGATTAAAAAATTGTACTAGCTAGATGGAAGTTGATGGAACATGAGGACAGGGAGGGAAGAAATTTTCTGTTGAGTGGTGCTGGAAAAGCAGAGTGATTGAGCAGTGCCTTAGAGGCATAGAGTCATACAGCACGGAAACAGACCCTTCAGTGCAACTTGTCTGTGCTGACCAGATATTCCAAGCTGGTCTAGTCCCATTTGCCAGCGTTTGACCTATACCCTCTAAACTTCCTAATCTTATAGCCATCCAGAAGACTTTTAAATGTTGTAATTGTACCATCCTCCACTTCTTCCTCTGGCAGCTCATTCCATACACGTGCCAACCTTTGTGTGAAAAAGTTACTCCTCAGGTCCTTTTTAAAATCAATCCTCTCTCACCTTAAACCTAGCCCCCCTAGTTTTGGACACCCCCAACTTCAGAAAAAGACCTTGGCTATTCACTCTATCCATGCCCATTGTGATTTTATAAAATTCTATAAGATCACCCCTCAGACTCTGACACTCCAGGGAAAAAGCCCCAGCCTGTTCAGCCTTGCCCTATAACTCAAACCTTCCAGTCCCAGCAACATCCTTGTAAACCTTTTCTGCACCCTCTCAAATTTAACAATATCCTTCCTATGGAAGGGCATCCAGAATTGTACGCAGCATTCTAAAAGTGGCCTCACCTATGTCCTGTTCAATATAATGTCCAACTCCTGCACTCAATGTTCTGACCAATGAAGGCAAGTGTGCCAAATACCATCTTCACCACCCAGTCTTTCTGTGACTCCACTTTCAGCGAGTTATGTCCATGCACCCCTAGGTCTCTTTGTTTGGGAACACTCTCCAGGGCCCTACTATTAACTGCATAAGTCCTGCCCTGTTTTGCTTTACCAAAATACAACACCTCACATTTATCCAAATTAAACTCTATCTGCCATTCCTTGACCCATTGGCCCATATGAGACAACCTTCTTTGCTGTCCACTACACCACCTATTTTGGTGTCATCTGCAAACTTACTAACCAAGCATCTGATATTCACATCCAATTAATTTATATAAATGACGAAAAGCAGTGGACCCAGCACAAATTCTTATGGCACACCACTGGTCACAGGCCTCCAGCCCAAAAAGCAGCCCTCCACCACCACCCTCTGTTTCCTACCTTCAAGCCAATTTTGTATCCAATTGGCGAGCTTCTCCTGGTTCCCATGTGATCTAACCTCACAAACCAATCTACCGTGCAGCACCTTGTGGAATGCTTTGCTGAAGCCCATACAGACAACATCTACCGCTCTGTCTTCACTGATCTTCTTTGTCACCTCTTCAAAAAAAATTCAATCAAGTTATTGAGGTATGATTTCCCACACACAAAACCATGTTGCCTAACCCTAATCAGTCCTTGCTTTGCCAAATACATGTAAATCCTGTCCCTCAGGATTCCCTCCAACAACATACCAGCCACTGACATCAGGCTCACCAGCCTATAGTTCCCTGGCTTTTCCTCACAGCCTTTCTTAAATAATGGCACCACATTAACCAACCTCCAGTCCTCTGACACCTCACCCTTGGCTATTGATGATACAAATATTTCAGCAAGGTGCCCAGCAATCACTTCCCTAGCTTCCCTCAAAGTTTGGGAAAATACCTGATCAGGTCCTGGGGATTTATCCACCTTTATGCATGTTAAGACCTCCAGCACCTCTTCTTTTGTAAAATGAACTCTTTCCAAGACATCACTATTTGTTTCCCCAAGTTCCCTAGTTTCCTTGTCCTTCACCACAGTAAATACTGATGTGAAACATTTATTTAGTATCTCACCCATATCTTGTGGTTCCATATATAGAAGGCCATGTTGATCCTTAAAGGGGCTGTATTCTCTCCCTCGTTACTCCTTTCCTCTTCATGTACTCATAGAAGCTTCTTTTGATTCTCCCTAGCTCTATTTGCCAAAATTATCTCGTCTTATTTTTGGCCTCCTGATTTCCCTCTTAAGTATACTCCTATTGCCCTCATCCTCTTCTCAGGATTCACTCGATCTCTGCTGTCTATACCTGACATATGCCCCTTTCTTTTCCTTGACCAGAGCCTCAATTTCTCTAGTTGTCCAGTCTTGCCCTTCACCCTAACAGGAACATACTGTCTCTGACCTCTCATTATCTCATTTTGAAAGGCCTCCCACTTCCCAACTGTTCCTTTACCTGCAAATAGCTTCCCCAATCAACTTTTGAAAGTTCCCGTCTAATACTGTCAAAATTGGCCTTACTCCAATTTAGAACTTTATCTTTTTAAAGAGTTCTATCCTTTTCCATAACTAGTTGAAAACTAGTAGAATTGGGCTGAAGGAGGCCCTGAGATGTTTGTTGAATGCACCTCCAGCCAACTGATCAAGAGCATTCTGTTCTCAGTCCCCAGGAAAAGATGGAGCATGAGTGTCAAAAGTCACCACCTTATCCTGATGGGATTTGTGTTATGACATTATTGTTTGGCATTGTTTACCTCTGCCCCTGTCTGAGGTCTTGACTTTACAATGAAGCTTCTCCTGCTATTGGGGAAACCCAGTATTGAAGTATTTTTGCTGTTTGATGATTTTCACATTGTTTCCTTGGATGATTATTATTGGCTGTTTCTTTTCCTCAGATGTGCTGACCTCATTGTGGAAGTAGCTCATCCTCAGATAATAAAGGATTATGGTGAGGAGTTTCTTAAACATGCGGATTGTATGGTATGTTTCCCTTTCCAGTTTGTCAATACCTGTCACTGGACCCAACTGGTCGCAGAGTAAATCTAGATTATTCTCTCTCTTAGTGGAGACCAGGCTGGGAAGTGAGATAGAATCATAGAATTTTTTACAGTACAGAAGAACACCATTTGACCCATTGTGTCTGTACTAGCTCCCAAACCAGCTACACAGCTCGTCCCACTCTCCAACCCTGTCTCCATAGTCCTCTAACTTCATCCCTTTCAAATATATATATCCATGTTTCTTTTGAAACCTCGTAGGGAGTCCACCTCTACCACTCTCCCAGGCAGCGCATTCCAAATCCTGAGTAAAGAACTTTCTTCTCATCTCACTCCTAGCTCTCTTGCTGACAATCTTGAAACTGTGACCCCTAGCTACTGACATGCCAACGAGTGGAAACAGAATATCCTTCTTCACCCTGTCAAAATTTTTCATAATTTTGAACACCTCAATAAAGTCATTCATAATCTGTCTCCTAAATGCAGTTAAACTAAAAACATTGTTCTTCTCTGTTTGTGTCTCATTGAAAATCTTAGCTCCCATTCCATAAACAACATTTCATGGATGACAACAACAGCATAAAGGATCTTTAATAAAGAAACATTGCAAATCAATTAATAGAGTTAGGGTCAAGAAAAGACATTGGATTAAAAGTGGAGAGATTTAGCCAGGCAACCTAATACAGTGGGAGTTTTCAAGGAGAAAAAATGAGGCAAAGAGAAGAAGAAGCCTTAAGAAAGACAACTGCAGAGAGTGCATTCTGACCAAATGGTGACATGGCTGTCCTTGGTGAGGTGAGGGGCATGGGCCTCCTGAAAGTGAGAGCCTCTGTGTGATTCCCAATGACACTACTGCCTGTTGGATACTTTCAGTTATCACATGGCAATGACCACTCCATTCAAACCAGGCCAGTTCAACTTGGGGCTGAAAGGGTGACGGAATCTGCAGGTGATATCTTACTGGGGAGGGTAAATAGTAAGTGATGGTTGCCCCAGTTCAGAATCTGTACTGACAGGGTATTTCCTGATTCTACTGGAGCAATGGGGATGTAACTTGGAAGGAATGTTTCCACCCAGGCAGTTATGAGAACAGGGAATGTCACACAACAGTCTTATCAGTGGGAACACAACAACCTCCAGGGAACAGGACTTAAACAGATGGTGAACTGAGGTACAGGCTCAGCGAGTTGAGTGGTCTCATTCTGTACTGTAAATTCCATCTTTCAAGATCAAGACTTTAAAAAAAACAGCTTGCACCTTTCAACCTTACAGACTAAACAGTTAAAAAGACTCGCTTCTCACCAAGTCACTAAGAAATTTCAACACATGAGACACTATAGTTGGGACAATCCCATTTGGTGGAACATAGAACAGTATGGCACAGTACAGGCCCTTTGGCCCACGATGTTGTGCCTAGCTTTTATCCTAAACCTAAGGTCTTTCTAACCTCCACCCCTACCTTATACTATCATCCATATGCCTATCTAATAGCCGCTTAAATGCCCCTAATGAGGCCGACTCCACTACCCTCTCCGGCAATGCATTCCACGCCCCTACCACTCTGAGTAAAGAACCTACCTCTGACGTCTCCCCTATATCTAGCTCCACTCACTTGAAAACTATGCCCCCTCGTAATAGCTACCTCCACCCTAGGAAAAAGTCTCTGGCTGTCCACTCTATCTATACCTTTGATCGTTTTGTACACCTCTATCAAGTCACTTCTCATCCTTCGTCGTTCTAAAGAGAAAAGCCCTAGCTCTCTCAACCTTTTCTCGTAAGACCTTCCCTCCATTCCAGGCAACATCCTGGTAAATCTCCTCTGCACCTTTTCCAACGCTTCCACATCTTTCCTGTAATGAGGCGATGTGACCGAATCAGGCTTTTGTATAGCTGGAACATAACTTCACGGCTCTTGAACTCAATCCCTCTATTAATGAAAGCTAACACACCATACGCCTTCTTAACAACTCTATCCACCTGGGTGGCAGCTTTCAGGGAACTGTGAACATGAACCCTAAGATCCCTCTGCTCCTCCACACTGCCAAGAATCTTTCCGTTAACCCTGTATTCTGCTTTCAAATTTGTCCTTCCAAAATGAATCATCTCACTCTTTTCAGGGTTAAACTCCATCTGCCGCTTCTCAGCCCAGCTCTGCATCCTATCAGTGTCCCTTTGTAACCTAGAACAGCCCTCCGCAATATCCACAACTCGACCCACCTTCGTATCATCCGCAAACTTACTAATCCACCCTTCCACTCCTACATCCAAATCATTTACAAAAATCACAAATAGAAGAGGACCCAGAACAGATCCTTGTGGTACACCATTCGTAACTGAGCACCATGTTGAATATTTTCCATCCACTACCACCCTTTGTCTTCTAAGGGTCAGCCAATTTTGAATCCAATCTGCCACATTTCCCCGTTTCCCATGCCTCCTTACTTTCTGCATGAGCCTACCATGGGGAACCTTATCAAATGCCTTTCTTAAATCCATGTATGCCACATCCACTGCTCTACCTTCATCCAGGTGTTTGGTCACCTCTTCAAAGAATTCAATAAGGTTTGTGAGACATGATCTACCCCTCACAAATCCATGCTGACTATCATGAATCAAACTGTGCCTATCCAAGTGATCATAAATCCTATTTCTCAGAGCCCTTTTTGCCCACCACTGAACTAAGACTAACTGGGCTGTAATTTACGGGGTTATTCCTATTCCCTTTTTTGAACAAGGGAATGACATTTGCCACTCTTCACTCTTCCGGCACTATACCTGTGGACAGTGAGGACGAAAAGATCATCACCAAAGGCCCTGCGATCTCTTCCTCGCTTCCCATAGAGTCCTTGGATAAATCCCATCAAGCCCAGGGGATTTATCTACCTTCAAGTTCCTCAAAATTTCTAGTACATTTTCCTTACTAACATCCACCTCCTCTAGCCTACCAGCCTGTTTCACACTGTCCTCCTCTACAACTAGGTCCCTCTCCGTTGTGAATACCAAAGAAAAGTATTCATTAAGGACTTCTCCTATCTCTTTAGGCTCTGTGCACAAATTCCCCTTACAATCCTTGATCGGCCCTACCCTTACTCTGGTCATTCTCTTATTCTTCACGTATGTGTAAAAAGCCTTGGAGTTTGCCTTGATCCTATCTGCCAAGGTTTTCTCATGCCGCCTTATAGCTCTCCTAAGCACTTCCTTCAGCTCTTTCCTGGCTAACTTGTATCCCTCTAGAGCCTTTTCCGTTCCTTGTTTCCTAAACCTTATGTAAGCCTCCTTCTTCCTCTTAACTCGTTGTTCAACCTCTCTCGAGAACCAAGGCTCCCTCACTCGACCGCATCTTCGCTGCCTGCTAGGGACAAACATATCGATCACACGCAGTATGCATTCCTTAAACAATCTCCACATTTCTATAGTGCTCTTCCCTGACAGCATTTGTTCCCATTTTATGTTATCCAGTTCTTGCCTGACAGAATTATAATTACCCTTCCCCCAATTATAAACCTTACCCTGCTGTATGTACCTATCCTTTTCCATGACGATTGTAAAAGTAACAGAGTTATGATCACTACTGCCAAAATGCTCTCCTACCAACAGGCCTGACACTTGGCCCAGTTCATTGCCAAGCACCAAATCCAAAGTGGCCTCTCCTCGTGTTGGTCTATCTATGTAGTGTCAGGAATCCTTCCTGAACGCACTGGACAAAATCGGCTCCATCTAAACTATTACAACTGAAAAGTTTCCAATCAATATTTGGAAAGTTGAAGTCACCCATGACTACAACCCTGTGACTTCTGCACCTTTCCAGTATCTGCCTCCCAATCTGCTCCTCCACTTTTCTGCAACTATTATGGGGTCTGTAAAAAACCCCCAACAAAGTGACTGCTCTTTTCTTGTTCCTGACCTCAACCCAAACTGACTCTGTAGACATATCATTCTCGAACTGCCTTTCAGTAGCTGCTATACTAGCCCTGACTAGCAATGCCACTCCCCGCCTCTTTTACCACCCTCCCTATTTCTTTTAAAGCATCTAAATCCCGGAACTTCCAATAACTGTTCCTGTCCCTGAGTTACCCAAATTTCTGTAATGGCCACAACATCGTAGTTCCAAGTACTGACCGATGCTCTAAGTTCATCCGCCTTATTTCTGATACTTCTAGCTTTGACGTATACACACCTCAAACCATCACTATGTCCACAATTACGCTCCATCGACCGCATTTCTTTATTAACAACCTCACTCCCTGTTGTGTCTGTTGGAAGGCTGAATATCATCCTCTGAATTAGAAATCTGGTTCCCCACCCCCTGCCAATCTAGTTTAAACCATCCCGTACAGCTCTAGCAAACCTCCCTCCCAGGATATTTGTGCCCTTCCAGTTCAGGTGCAACCCGTCCTTACTGTACAGGTCCCACCTTCCTCAGAATGTGCTCCAATTATCCACATAATGGATGCCCTCCCCCCTCACCAGCCCTGTTGCCACGTGTTTAGCTGCACTGTCTCCCTATTCCTTACCTCGTTATCAAATGGCACCAGTAGTAATCCAAAGATAACTACCCTGTTTGTCCTGGAGTGGCCCAGGTGCCAATTTATTGCATTTCCCAATGTTTTCCACACTGGAATGATTCTTTATATCCCACAGGCTGGTTCTCCTACTGCATTTGCCGAACAGGGAGTGGATACTAAATGTCGAGAGGCAGCTAGCAGATATGGACACACCCTGTACATACCCAGCGGAGCACTCTGGGGGGCAGAGGATATCCAAAAAATGGCTAACAGAGGAACTCTGAAGGTGAGCAGTAGTAGTCTACAGCAACTAAGCACTGTTTCTCAGTGGGGTCAAAGAATATTCGACTTTTGCTGATCCCTCTAAAGTATAACTGTCTCAAGTTGCTTAGTCACTCAAGACTCCAGGCAGCAGTTCTGATCACAACAAGTTAGAAGATGTGAAGAATACCAGAGGGAACTGAGGCATTAATTTGGAGATGGTGATAATCTAAACATAGAGGGTTGGAGTAACATATGTCTAACATGTGGAGTGTGTGTGTCGAGGTAGACGGTCAAAGGATCTTACATCAAGTTTGGAAAAGGCCTGTTTGTACTGCCCTGTACTAAAAGGACTCTTTGGCAGGACTGAATGGGCAAGACTGACTTCTATTTGACCTTTGCCCGTTTCTACAGGGCCTGAAGGTGACAATGAGCAAACATCCAGACAGCTTCAAGCTGCGAGGTCACCTGCAGGAGCTGAAGGAAAGCATGAAGGGCCAGCGGGCTGTGCTGTATGATGGGTCAGTGAGGAACTTGTGTGAGCTTGCACCAAACAACGTGAATACCATGGCTGCTGCAGCCATGGCCGGACACACTCTGGGCTTTGACTGTGTGCAAGGCAGCCTGGTGGCTGATCCTGGGTAGGTACCCATTCCGCACTATCGGACATTCATTCCAAAACATGGGAGCCAAGCTGACCTTTCAATAGGACTAAGTGTTATTGCTAACAAAGTGGGATATAGGGAAACAGCCAGAAGTTAGTCCTCAAAATAATAGGATTTATACCATTACAGTCAGATAGACAAAAGTTTAGTGGTAGCTGTTATTAGCAGTAATGAAACATACACTGAGCACGTACAATATCCTTAAACAGAAGACAATCTCAGGAATTCATGGACTATCAAAAGTGTGATAACTGGAGTTCAGAGTCATTTTGTTCCTGTTAGAGTGAAAGATAAGACTGGTAGGATTAGAGAGCAATGGACGAATAAAGATGTTGATTCTTGTCAAAAACAAAAAAGGAATTGTATATTTCTTGAACAGTATAAAAAGTGTAAAGGCATTCTTAAGAGGGAGATCAGGAAGGCAAAAAGAGGATATGAGAAAGCCCTGGCAAATAAGGTTCAGGATAATCCATAAAGATTCTATAAATACACTAAGAGTAAGAGAACAACTAGGGAGAGAGTAAGGCCGCTTAAAGATCAAAGAGGTCATCTTTGTGTTGAACCACAGAAGATGGGAAAGATATTAGATGAATATTTTGTGTCAGTTTTTACTATGGAGGAAGAAATGGAGACTACAGAACTCAGGGAAATAAATATTGATGCTTTAAAAACAGTTCACATTACAGATGCGGAAGTGCTGGAGGTCTTAGTAAATATAATGGATAAATCTCCAGGACCTGATCTACCATATCCCAAGACATTGAGGGAAGTTAGGGAAGAAATTGTGGGGCCTCTTGCAGAAATATTTGTATCACCTATAACTACGGGTGAGGTGCCCGATAACTGCAGAGTGGTTAATGTTGTGCCTTTGTTTAAGAAGGGTTGTAAGGACTTGGTGCTGGGTGAGTCATTGGAAGTGCTTCTGAAAGATAGGATTTATATGAATTTGGAGAGGCAAGGAATGATTAGGGATAGTCAGCATGGTTTTACACAAGGGAAATCGTGTCTCTCTAACTTGATTGAGTTGTTTTTAAAGAAGTAGCCAAGAGGATTGATGAGGCCAGAATGGTAGACCTTGTTTACTTGGACTTTGGTAAAGCCTTTGACAAGATTCCGCATGATAGATTAATGAGTAAGGTTGGGTAACATGGGATTCAGGGTGAGCTTGTCAATTGGGTACAAAATTAACTTAATGGCACGCAACAGAGTGTGATAGTGGAAGGTTAGTTTTTGGACTGGAGGCCTGTGACCTGGAGTGTTCCATGGGGATCGGTGCTGGATCCAATTTTGTTTGTCATATGAATACCTTAGATGAGAATATAGAAGGCATTGTTAGTAGACTTGCGGATGACACCAACATTGGTGGTATAGTGCACAGTGAAGAAGGTTATTTAAGATTACAAAGTAATCTTGATCAGTTGGATCAATGGGCTAAAGAGTGGCAGATGGAGTATAATTTGGTTAACTATGAGGTATTGTATTTTGGTGAAACAAACAAGCGCAGGACTTATCCAATTAAAAGTAGGGCCTTGGGTAGCATTGGGTCACCTAGGGGTTCAGATGCATGATTCTTTGAAGTTTGTGTCACATGCAGACAGGGTGCTTAAGAAGGCATTTAGCACCCTTACCTTCATTGTGCAGACCTTTGAGTATCGGCATTGGGAAATTATGTTGAGATTGTACAAGAGGTGAGGCCTTTTGTGGAAAACTCTGTCCAATTCTGGTCGCTCTGTTATAGGAAGGATATTAGTAAATTGATGAGGATTCACAAAAGATTTATCAGGATGTTGCCAGGAATGGAAGGTTTGAGTTATCAGGAAAAGCTATATGGGCTGGGACTTTTTTCACTGGAGCATAGGAGGTTGAGGAATGACCTTTTCGAGATTTAGAAAATTATGAGGTGTATAGATATGATGAATGGCTTGTGTCATTTCCCTAGGGTAGGGAATTTCAAGACTAGATGGCATATTTTTAAGTTGAGAAACATTTAAAAAAGACATGAGAGGCAATTTTTTTTACACAGATTGTGGTTCTTCTGTGGAATGAGCTTCCAGAGGAAGTGGTGGATGCAGGTACAGTTACAATGTTTAAAAGACATTTAGATAACATATGAATGAGAGGTTTGGAGGATATGCAGTCAAGTGGGATTTTGGATTATGGTTGGCAAGGACTAATTGGACCGAAAGGTCTGTTTTCATTTTCTATGGCTCTATCAAAGACTGGTCTTATTTTTCCATCACCTTCAGCTTTCAATATTTATGACCCCTAAAGCAGATTTTTGCATATAAATGTTCCTATCTAGTCAATGCAAATACCTATCCATCATAAAGCTGACACAAAACACAACAGTTTGTACTTTGTGTATCTTGACTGAAGTACAAGAACAAAGAACAAAAAACAATACAGCATAGGAACAGGCCCTCCAGCCCTTCAAGGCTGCGCCGACACATTTTGTCCTTCCATACTAAAACTGTCTTCACTTGCACGATCCGTATCCCTCTGTTCCCTTCCTACTCATGTATTTGTCCAAGTGCTTCTTCAATGCAGCTATTGTGTTTGCTTCCACCACCTCCTCTGGCAGCGCGTTCCAGGAACTTACCACCCTTTGTGTAAAAAACCTGCCTCGCACATCTCTTTACAACTTCCCCCCGCATCTTGAACCTGTGTACCCTAGTAATTGACCCTTCCACCTGGGAAAAAGCCTCATACTTTCCACTCTATCCATGCCATTCACAAACTTCTATCAGGTCACCCCTCAACCTCCTGCATTCCAGTGAAAAAAAGCCCAGTCTATCCAACCTTTCTTCATTGCTAAAACACCCCACACCAGGCAACATCCTGGTAAACCTTTTTGTACCCTGTCTAAAGCATCCACATCCTTCTGGTAGTGTGGTGACCAGAACTGTGTGCAATATTCCAACAGTGGCTTAACTAAGGTTCTGTAAAGCTATAGCATAACTTGTCTATCCTTATACTTAATGCCCCTTCCAATGAAGGGAAACATGCCATAGGCCTTTTTTATCACCTTATCTACCTGCGCTGCTGCCTTCAGATCACTGTGGGCCTGCACACCCAGATCCCTCTGCATATCAATACTCCTCAGGGTTCTGCCATTCACTGTATAATTTCCACCTGTACTTGACCTTCCAAAATGCATCACCTCACATTTGTCTGGATTCAGCTCCATCTGCCATTTTTCTGCCCATGCCTCTAACTGATCTATATCCTACTGTATCCTCTGACAATCCTCCTCACTATCTGCAACTCCACCAACTTTTGTATCATCTGTAAGTTTACTAATTAGACCAGCTACATTTTCCTCCAAATCATTTAGATCACAAACAGCAGAGGTCCCAGCACAGATCCCGGTGGAACACCACTAGTCACAACCCTGCATTCTGGAAAGCATCTTTCCACCGCTATCCTCCGTCTCCTATGACTAAGCCAGTTCTGTACCCATCTTGCCCGCTCATCCCTGATACCATGTGACTTCACCTTTTGTACCAGTCTACCATATGAGGAAGGGTCTGAGTCCTGAGGAAGGGTCACCGGACCTGAAACGTTAACTCTGTTTTCTCCTCCACAGATGCTGCCAGACCTGCTGAGCTTTTCCAGCAACTTTGTTTTTGTACCATATGAGGGACATTGTAGATAACTGATGTCCATGTAGACAACATCAACCATTTTCTCTCATCGTCTTTGTCACCTCCTCAAAAAACTCGATCAAGTTAGTGAGGTTTCACCTCGCCCACACAAAACCACGCTGTCTATCACTAATAAATCTTTTTGCTTCTAATTTTGTTTAGGTCTGGTCCCTGAGAATCCTTTCCAATAATTTCACTATCACGGACGTGAGACTCACAGACTTGTAATTTCCATGATTATCCCTGTTACCCTTCTTAAACAATGGGACAACATTGGCTATTCTTCAGTTCTCTGGGACATCACCTGTGGCGCAAGAGGATGCAAAGATGTCTGAACATGCTCCAGCAATTTGTTCTCTTGCCTCCATTAATATTCTGGGATAGACCCCTTCAGGACCCACACCTCTTCCTTTTAATAGCAACTCAGCTCAGAAACTCGACACTCCCTTCCCTCAGATCATTCTCCATTGATTCCTTCTCTTTGGCGAATACTGACACAAAGTATTCGTTTAGGACCTCACCTACCTCTTCTGGCTCCTCACATAGATTCCCTCCATTGGCCCACCAGGTCATGTTATCACATCATCTGCCATTACACACTACCTATTGTTAGCCACTAACAGTCTCCATTAACAGCTATTCGCCTTCTTAGCTAGGTCGTTATCTACTCCTTTGTCTGTCCAACTGCTCTTCCCTATCTTTGGGCTCTACCCCACCTATCATTTACTCCTTACCCCCTCCCCCTACCCTATCTTCTGTATATAAACTGACATTTCCCTAGCTACCATCACTTCTGAGGAAGGGTCACCGGATTTGAAACGTTAACTCGGATTTTTCTTCACAAATGCTGCCAGACCTGCTGTGCTTTTCCTTCAACTTCTGTTTTAGTTTCTGATTTACAGCATCCACAGTTCTTTTGGTTCCCTCCTTTGTCCTTGTGTGGGCCAACCCTTTTCCTGGCTACCCTCTTGCTTTTTACATATGTATAAAAAGCTTTGGGATTCTCCTTAGTCCTGCTTGCTAACGACTTTTCATGTCCACTTTTAGCCCTTCTAATTCCTTGTTTAAGTACTTTCCTGATATACTTCAAGGACGTCTTCAGTTACCATCCTCGTAGATCTTATGTATGCTTCCTTTTTCTTTCTGACCAAGGTCATGACATCCCTGGTGATCCAAGCTTCACGTAATTTGCCATATCTATTCTTCATTCTCGCAGGAACGTGCTGCTCCTGAACTCTTATTAACTGCCGTTTGAAATACTCCCACATCTCCGATGTAGATTTACCCTCAAGCAGCCGCTTGAATCAACAGTCTCTAGTTCTTGCCTAATATTGTTGTAGTTTGCCTTCCCCCAGTGTAACACCTGCACCCCAGGGCTGCTGTTATCTCTGTCCATGAGTATCTTAAAACTCACAGTATTATGGTCACTACTCCCAAAATGCTCCCCACTGAAATTTCACTCACTTGGCCGGGCTCGTTTCCCAAAACCAGGTCCAGTATAACCCCTTCCCTGGTTGTACTGTTTACATATTGTGTCAGGAATCCCTTCTGAATGGTCCTTAAAAATTCTGCCCCATCCAAACTCTTCGCACAAAGTGAGCCCCAGTCAGTATAGGCGAAGTTAATATCACCCAACACAACAACCCTGCTGTTTTTACATCTTTCCAAAATCTGTCTACATATTCTTTCCTCTATCTCCTGCTGGCTGTAGGGAAGTCTATAGCATACCCCCAGTATTGTGATTTCACCTTTCCTCTTCCTGACTTCATAGAATCCCTACAGTGTGGAAACAGGCCCTTCAGCCCAACAAGTTCTACCCATATTGCCTTGCTGCACGAGTCCTCTGATGTATCTTCCCTAGGTACAGCTGTGAAATACCCCTTTACCAGTAATGCAACTACCCACCCCTTTTACCTCCCTTTCTATCACACCTGAAACATCTAAATCCTGGGACATTTAGCTGCCATTCCTATCCCTCTTTCAGCCAAGTCTCTGTAATCACTTTGATGTCATTGTTCCAAGTACTAACCAAAACTTTAGGTTCTTCTACCTTGCCTGTTATCCTTCTCGCATTGAAACACATGCATTTCAGACCACCTCCCCTGCTATTTTCAGCAGAGTTTCTCTGCCTGTTCTTGTTCTTAGCCATGTTTGCCTTGGTTTCCACCTCTTCCTCAATTTCTGCATCTACTGCCCTACTCCTCTGGTTCCAATCCCACTGCCGCACTAGTTTAAAACCTCCCCAACCACTTTACCAAGTATCCCCCCCCCAAGAAATTAATCAGTCCCAGTCCTGTCCAGGTGTAACCTGTTCAGTTTGAACAGGTCCCAACTCCCCCAGAACCGGTCCCGATGCCCCATGAATCTGAAACTCTCACCATGTTTTCAGTCACATGTTCATCCTGTATATCCTGCCATTTCTACTCTGTTCATGGCACCTGTAGTAATCCTGAGATAACTACTTTTGAGGTCTTACATTTCAACTTTCTTCCTCATTCTCTATATTCTGCATTTAGTAATATGATCCAAGGTGCTTACAGCACAGCAAACAAAAGTTTACAGTGAGTCACATAAGGAATCAGGACAGGGGACCAAACACTTGGTTAGAAACAAATGTTTTAAAGAGTGTTAAAGGAGGATAGAGAGAGACGGAGAGATTTAGGTTCAGAATCCCAGAACTTCAGTGGAAAGCTTAGTTGTCAACAACATAATGAAGGAGATCAGAGGTGCCTCGTTCTGGTCAGACTGCAACTTATAGTGGAGATCTGTGAGGCAGTAAGAGGTTCCAAAAATAGGGAAGAGTGGGACCATGGATGAATTTGAACAAAACAAAGAATATTTCAAAATAGTGGAATTTCTGAATCAATGTAGTTGAGTGAGTTTAACAGTGACAGGTTAAATGGAGTTAGCACATCTGCCAGAACTGGAGCCAGTATTCCTGTTGGAGTCCAAAGGTTGATAAGTCACCTGGACCTGATGGGTTGCATCCTAGGATTTTATAAGAAGCAGATAGTGGATGCACTGATGGTAATCTTCCAAGAATGCTTAGATTCAGAAAAAGCCCCAGATGATTTGAAATCTGCCATTTAGGGTGAATGGATTCAAAGGTTATGGGGAGAAAGCAGGATGAGGCTATTGAGTTGGACAATCGGCCATGATCATGATGAATGGCAGAACAGGCTTGAAGGGCCAAATGGTCTCCTGCTGCTCCTATCTTCTATCTTTCTATGATACAGTGAGTCTGTTGAGGGACACAGACAGGTTAAGCAAAAGGGCAAACCCTTGACAGATGGAATACAATGTGGGAAAATGTGAAGTAATGTACTTTGGCAGGAAGAATAAAGGAGTTGAATATTATGTTAATGGAGAAAGAGTGAAGTAAGCTGCTGCACAATGATATTTGGGGATCCTCATGCATGAGTCACAAAAGCTTATGTCCAAGTTAATTGAGTGATAGGGAAGATGAATGGAGTTTTGGCATTTATTTCAAAGAAAATGGAGAAGTCTTGTAAAGGTACTCACCAGACCACAGCTGGAATGCTGTGAGAAAGTACGAAGGAATGATATACTGCCATTGGAGGCAGTCCAGTGAAGGTTCACTAATTTGATCCTGGATATGGAGGGATTTTCTAATAAAGAAAGATTGTTTAGATTGGGCCTGTGCTCAAAGGAGACCTAATTGAAACATATAAGATTCTGAGGGATCTTAACAGGATGGAGGTTGAGTTGTTGTTTCCGTTTGTGCGAGAGTCTCAGACCAGAAGGCATAATCTCACAGTGAGGGTCACTCATTTAAGATGGAAATGAGGAGGATTTCTTTTTCTCTGAGATTAGTGAATCTGTGGGATACATGACCGCAGAAGAGATATTGAAGCTGGGTTGTTAAGTGTGTGCAGTGCTGAGATAGACAAAATTTTAATCAGTAAGGGAATCAAGGATTATATGAAAAGGTGGGAAACTGGAGTTGAGGGTTATCAGATCAGCTATGATCTCACTGAATAGCAGAGCATACTTGATGGGCTGAATGGCCTATTTCTGCTCCTATGTCTTATGGTTTAAGTGTAGCCAAAACTGGAACCATTATTTAAGGTACAGACTGATCAGAACTGGATCCGGTTTTGAAGGCGACGCCTGACCTGAACGGGTCACAGTATTCAAAATATTTTCAAATCTCCTTTGAATGAGTTTCTATTATAAATTGAAATTTTCTGTTTGACTCTGCAGCCTGTTGAATTTTCACATTGTGGATATTGAAGTAACTGGTCCAGTAAGCAAGTCCTCAGGCCGTGAGTTTACAGTGAAGACAAGCCGGAGGAACCCTGCCCCCCCAGGGGATGTGACAGGCATGGCTACTTATACTTCATTCTGGAGCAGTGTGCTCAGTAAGTACAAGATTGCAAATTACTCTCTTTGCCCAAATAGAGGTCAAGCAGCTTAATGTCTACTTTACTCTTTTGTTAGCTTGTGGAAGACCTGATGTTGTGATAAAGAGTAAAGTAAGTCACATTTATATAATACGTGCTCATACAGCAAAGTATATCAAAGTGTATTACAGGCAATGAAGATTTTGATTTTTTGATTTGTCACGATTGTTTCGCATAATCAACATCTGACAAATGAACAACTTGCATTCATATTGCACCTTAAATGTGTTAGATTTGGAACAAACTCCTTGAAGGACTTATAGAATCAGATTTTATAGGAACTCTTAAAAATTGGACACTTGGTTGAAAAGAACAAAACTTGCAGAGCTACAGGAAAAGAGCTGATCTGTCCAATAGTGGGTTGAAGTGCCTGTTCCTGTGCTGGCTCTTCTTTGTTCAATACACAAGCTGGCATGAGAATGACTGGCCAGCTTGTGTATTGTATGAACATAAGAAATAGGGGCAGGAGTAAGCCGTCTGGTTTGTCGAGCCTATTCTGCCATTCAATAAGATCATGTCTGATGTTTTTGTGGATTCAGCACCGCTTCCCACCCTCTCACCATAATCCTTAATTCCTTTACTATTCAAAAATCTATCTTTGCCTTAAAAACATTCAACGAGGTAGCAGCGTCAGCTGCTTCACTGGACAGGGAATTCCACAGATTCACAACCCTTTTTGGTGAAGAAGTTCCTCCTCAACTCAGTCCTAAACCTGCATCCCCTGATTTTGGGCCTCTGCCCCCTAGTTCTAGTTTCACTTGCCAGTGGGAACATCCTTCCTGCTTCTCTCTTATCTATTCCCTTCATAATTTTATATGTTTCTATAAAATTCCCAACCCTCACTAATTCTTCTAAATTCCAGTGAGTAAGATTCTATGACTCTACAGGGCACCCCACAGGAGCATAACGAAACATAAATCAATGAACAGCCACAAGAAGGCATCCAAAAGCTACAGCAACATTTTCAATCAGTATATCTTTGAGCCCTCCTGCACATTGTAGAGCTTTGGTATATTATTGACAAGAACCTGTGGTGTCTCGTTTTGAGCCCCATTCAGGTTCCTTTCTCCACCACTCACCTCCATCGAAGTAATCTTCTCAACAACAACATGTCAGCATTGCCAACAGCATTGACTGCTCTCCAGTTGCCGTCTTTCATAGCACAGGGAATTCTGGAATATTATTACAAAGAGAGGCCAAAGCACTGGAGATCTGCATTTTAATCAATGCAAGGTATTTAAGCACTTTTGAAAAAGAGTCATATTGAATTCAAAATGGTAACTCTGTTTCCCTCTGCACAGATTCTGCTAGCACCTTTCAAGCTCTTCCAGCAGTTTTTGCTTTTGTTTCAGATCTCCAGCACCCACAGTAGTTTACTTTCTATCAAAGTAATTACAAGTCCACTCAGACTTCCCCATTTTGAGAATTATTTGTCCATAGATGACTTGTGTCGCCATGGGATGGTGCACAGTTTTAAGCAGGTAGCCTTTGCTGCCCTCTCCTGGACTTGCATTGAGCTCACAACACTCAGGTTTTTACATGCCAATTTTGGCAAGTGTGTGAGACCAGAACATATTTCAAAAAAATTATAGGAGACAGGGTTCTGAGGAGATTTAACAGGATGCTTGCTGGGGTGGATATACTGAGCTACAGGGAAAAATTGGATAGGTTCAGGTTGTTTTCCTTAGAGCAGTGGAGGTTGAAAGGGGACCTGACAGAGGTGTATAAGCTTATGAGGGGCATGGATGGAGTGAATAGGAAGGCACATTTTCTATCAGTACAGGGGGCAAAAACCAAGGGCATAGGTTTAAAGGAAGAGTAGAAGGCTAAGAGGAGAGTTGAGGAGAAATACTTTCACCCAGAGGATGGTGGGAATCTGGAATTTGCTGCCTGAAAAGGGTAGTGATTCAAAAACTCTGCAACAGTGAAGCAGTATTCAGATATTCACTTGTAGCTCTGGCAGCAATGACAATATAGGCCAAAAGCTGGAAAATAGGATGAACATTATCAGGTCTTTGTTGGACACAATGAGCTGAATGGCTTCGTTTTTGCTCTAAATGTCTATGAGTATTATAACTTGAGTGATTTATGGAGTGATGGAGAAAACAGCTGGCTCGGAATCTAAACATGTAGGCCAAGTGAGAGCTGGCCAGAGTTCATCATCAAAGTTTGTTCCATAAACTAAATTGAGCAAAGACTGGGGAGCCCACAGGAATACTCTGATCCAAATATGAAGTATTAAAAGTGTTCTTCCTCTTATGAGTTGTCATCTCTGATCATGAGCAACAAAGTAGCTGTCATGGCCCAGGAAGCCTCACCTACTTGAAAATTGCAGGCTGCAGTTTACACTTGAGGGATTACTTACTTTGATCTGTTTGTTGAGTCGCTAACATTTTCCAACCCTTCATCACCCTTTCCTTAGATTGTACAGGTCATGGAGGCAAACTGTTTCTGTGCTGAGGAGTCATCCAGGTTGGCTGCACTGAGGAATAGAGTCGTCCTTTCAGGTCCTCAGAGGTACAACCATCTTGCAAAATCATAATAAAGTGCTGTTGCAAACTATTTCTCACATTGTGTTCACTTAGGTTTGTCGTACAGGAGCCTCTGTTTCACAGCCCATACACGGGAGGGTGGCTTACCCTGAGTTTAGGGAACAATACGGATTGGTCCTCAAAGTAACTGGGAGATACTGGTCCCAGCTGCAGGGGCACAGGGATTTGAATTAAAAGCGATTCTCAGTGATTGAGGCCATGAAGCTACCATTGACTGTCATGAAAATCTATCTAGTTTGTTAATGTCCTTGAGGGATAGAAATCTGCCGTCCTTACCCAATCTGATTTACATGTGACTCCATACCCACAGCAATGTGATTGACTTACAACTGCCCTCAGAAGTGCCCCAGTAAGAAAGGCAGTTGCGTTTTTAGGGATGTGCTAGTGAGGCCCTCAGGTGACTCTCAGGTGGGCTGGTGGTAATGGAGCAGCTTACAGGAGGGACAGAAACAAGTTCTAAAGGCTCAAGGAGCAATCATTATAGCTTCTGAAAGTTGCAGCACTGTAAGAACATTATTATTGACCTGTCATTGGTGACCACAGCTACCTTCTGCTTGCACATTGGAGGAGAATAACACATGTTTCAGCTTCCAGCCTCCCAACATTTAAATAATAATATTTCTAGATCTTTCTTGAGGAATGCATTTCACTTCGGAAATCAGGCATAGCTATCCAAGAATAGAAAATGGTTCAAAGTCTCCCAGATTTAATGATGCCCTGTGTAGATTAAGTTCTTGTTAGTCAAAGCTGAGATTCGTGTCCATTCTGAAGAGCTCCCATAGTGATTCATTAGTTAGGGGAACGAACAGACCAGCATTTCTTGGCCGCAGATGTGTCTCTAGGATGGTGCATTGGCTCCCTGGTTGCTGGGTCAGGGATATCACTGAGCGGCTGCAGGGCATTCTGAAGGGGCAGGTGACAAGACAGAAGTCATGGTATCCACTGGTACCAACGGTATTGGTAGAATGAGGGATGAGGTCTTGCGTCAAGAGTTTAGGGAGGTAGGCAGTATTTTAAAAGCAGGACCTCAAAGGTTGTAATCTCTAGATTACTTCAGGTGCCACATATTAGCAAGGACAGAAATAGGAGAATATGGCAAATAAATGCATTGCTGAAGAGTTGGTGCAGGAGAGAGGGTTTTAGATTCCTGGATCACTGGGACTGTTTCTGGGGAAGATGGGACCCGTACAAGTGAGATGGTCTACACCTGAACCAGAATATGATTAACATCCTTACAGATGGGTTTGCTAATGTTGCTGCGAGGGAATTTAAACAGTTTGGCAGAGGAAGGAGACAGAGAGTGCTCGTCCAATAGGGACATGGCATACTTTTGTAAAAGGACCAAGGCAAAGAGAGTTCAACTGTGTTGAGTTTCAAGGGAGTACTTTAATGCTAGGAGTATTATAGGTATCCATGATGTGGAGGTGCCTGTGTTGAACTGGGGTAGACAAAGTCCACAACAAGCTAAGTCACACAACACCAGGTTATAGTCCAACAGGTTTATTTGAAATCACAGGCCTTCGGAGAGCTGCTCCTTCATCAGGTGAAGTGGAGGGAAGTGCACAGGCACAGAATTTATGGACGGAGAGATCATTGCAAGATAATTCCAGGTAATTAAGAGTGTCAAAAGACAGTACAAATGGTGTGGCTGAATAACAAGTCTCTGCAGGTGATCAAAAATGTCAAACGATGTGAGTAAAGTGTCAACAGCTGAATAGGATATGAAGGAATGATCTATAATCCGATTAATTGAGGCAGAGAGATAATTACAAAAAAGCAGGAATAAGATGGTGCTAGAGACAAAGTGTGCAATAACACGATAGGTGTAAGAGTCGCATGATGAGTAAAAGTAACAAGTCATCCAAAACTGTACTAACTGTAATAACAATAGAGAGATCATAACAAGTTATCAAGGTAATGGTGTTAAAACAGAACAGTAAGAAAGATTTTACAAACTCAGAACAGTATGATGTGGTTACATGTAGCGTGACATGAACCCAAGATCATGGTTAAAGTTTGTGATATTAAATAAACCTGTTGGACTATAACCTGGTGTCGTGTGACTTCTGGCTTTATTATAAGTAATACAGATGAGTTATGGGTGTGGAATGACACATGGAATTGTGGTATTTTGCCAACACGGAGACGAGGTTGAGGGTGGAGCAGGACTGGCAATTCAACATTGCAGGATATAGGATCTTCAGGCAGGACAGGGGAGGATGTGAATGAGAAGGTAGTGTCACATTAATAATTAAGGAGTCAGTAACTGCAGTAAGGAGGAACAGTATCTTGGAAGTGTCTTCGAATGATGCTTTGTGGGTAGAGCTTAGGAATAAAAAGGGAGTAGTCACATTATTGGGAGTGTGTTATAGGCTACCACACAGTCAACAAGCAATGGAGGAGCAGCTATGTAGACATTTCATTGATGTGTATAAAACAATCATAGGGTAATTATATTAAGGATTTCAACTTCCCCAACATTAATTTGGATAAAAATAGTGTAAAGCTTTAGAAGGGACAGATTTCCTGACATGTCTTGAGAAGAGCTTCATATGTCGACATGTAGAAAGTCCAATAAAGGAGGATGCACTGTTGGACCTAACTCTGGGGAATGAAGCCTGACAGGTGTTTGAGGTAGTAGTGGGAGAACATTTAGTAATAATGACCACAACACTGTACATTTTAAATTTGTTAAGGAAAAGGAAAAAGATGATTTGCATTTCGGTTCGGGAAAAGGCAAATTTTATTAAAATTAGGCAGGATCTGATCAAAGTAACTGTGAACAGCTCCTGTGAGTAAATCTACAGCAGAACAGTGGGGGCCTTCAAAGTGGAATTGGTGACTGTACAGGCCCAACATGTTCCCTTAAGGGTTAAATGTAGAAGCCACAAGCCCAGAGAACCTTGGATGTCGAGGAATGTCCAGGACTGGATAAGAAGGAAAAGAAAAGCTTTCAACAGATTCAAAGGAGCAAATCAACAGAAGCCCTAGTGGATTATAGAAAGTGCAAGAGAGATCTTAAAAAGGCAATTAGGAGAGCAAAGACAGGACATGAAGAAAAACATTGGTGGGTAAGATTAGGGACAATCCCAAGATATTCTACAGGTATCTCAAGGGTACAAGGATATCAGGGAAAGAGTAGGGCCCATTAGGGACCACGGGAACAATCTGTGCATGGAACTAGAGAACATTGGTAGGGTGTTAACTGAGCATTTCACATCTGTCTTCACTCTGGAGAAGGAGCATGTAGTTACACAATTTGAGAAGTGAGGTTCTTGAGCAGTTTGACAGAGGGAGTGATGAGACATTGCAGGTTTGGGCAGGTTTAAAAATGGACAAATGCCCAAGGTCTGGATGAGTTGCGTCCCAGGTTGCTATGGGAGATGAGAGAGGAAATTACAGGAGCCCTGACCCAAAATTTTAATTACTGTCTGGTCACAGGGTAAGAACGGCTGTTAATGTGGTTGCACTTTTTAAGAAGGATGGTAGAAATAATGCCGGGAATTATGAACGAATGAGTCACACATCAGTGCTAGGGTAACATATGGAGAAAATTCTGAAGGAGAAAATTAATTTCCAGTTCAAGAGGTAAGGTTTGATCAGGGGTAGTCAGCATGGCTTTGTCAGAGGAGGTCATAACGAACAATATCGATTGAATATTTTTGAGAAGGTGACCAGGTGTGTAGGTGAGGTTAGTATAATCGATGTGCTTTATATAGATTTCAGTGAAGCCTTTGACAAGGTCCCACATGGGAGACTGATAAAAAAAGGTAAAAGAACATTGGATCCAGGGTAACTTGGCAAATTGAATCAAAACTTGGCTTAGTGGCAGGAGGCAGAGGGTGTGGTAGATGGCTGCTTGTGTGACTGGAGCTGGTGTCTAGGTGGTGTACCATAGGAATCAGTGCGAGGTCCTTTATTGTTTGTGATATATATAAGTAACATAGATGAGAATGTGGAGAGGATGATAAGTAAGTTTTCGGATGACACAAAGCTTGGCTGGGTGGTTGACAGTGAGGACGAAGGTCCTAGGTTACAGGAGGATATAGATGTGTTGGTCAGATGGGCAGATGGAATTTAACTCTAGTAAATGTGAGGTGATGTACTTTGGAAGAATTAACAGGACCAGCGAGTATTCAATGAACGGCAGGACACTAGAAAGCTCAGAGCAACAGAGGGATCTTGGGGTACTTGTCCACAAATTCCTGAAGGTTGCAGGACAGGTTAACAGTTTAGTTAAGACAGCATAAATGACACTTGCCTTTATTAGATGTGGCATAGATTATAAGAACAGGGGGGTCAAGTTGGAGCTGTACAAAATTTTGGTGAGGCCACAGCTGGAGTACTGTATCAGTTCTAGTCACCACACCATAGGAAGGATGTGATCGCACAGGAGGGGTGCAGTGGAGATTCACTAGGATGTTGCCTGGGATGGAGCAGTTTAGCTACAAAGAGAACCTGTGTAAGATTGAATTGTTTTCTTTCGAGCAGAGAAGGTTGAGAGGAGACCTGATTGAGATATAAGATTATGAGGGGCATGTACAGGGTGGATGGAATTTAGCTGTTCTCCTTAGTTGAAGGGTCAACAAGAAGGGAGCATAATTTTAAGGGGGAGAGCCGGAACTTTAGAGGGGATCTGGGCCAAAGTGCTTCTACCCAGAGTGTAGTGTCAGAATGAAGACACTACCTGGGAGGGTAGTCGAGGCAGGAAACCTGACAACATTTAAAAAGTACTTGGATGAGCACTTAAAGTGTCATACCATTCAAGACTACGGGCCTGGTGCTGGAAAGTAGGAGTGGTGTAGGTTTACAGTTGTTTTTGTCAGTGCAGACTCAGTAGACTAAAGGGCCTCTTCTGTACCATATGATTCCAGTCATCAGCAATACAAAACCAATGACAATACTCATAGGCCTATGAAATCAAGTGTCCTAGTGTTCTCCATAACATATCCAAACGTGTGACACCAAAACTCAGCAGTCTTAAAATTTCCATCATTCTGTCCACAGTGA